GCCTGTACGTCGTGTTCGGCAGTGCCATTCCAGGTGACACTATTGACGTCACGACGCTGAGCGGCAGCGACGGGTTCAAGGTGACAGACGGTGGCGGCGGCAGCTTCAATTTGCCGTTCTACAGCCCGATCGACATGACTGGAGATGGATCCGCAGATGTCGCACTGTTCACTCAAACCTTGTTGATGCCGTCCTTCGCGACAAAGAATTCTCCGTATGCCATTGTGGGCAACGGACCGGCAGGAGGCGCGAGCAACAATGCGGCCACGTCAACAACCTCCAGCAGCCTCTCCACTTCAGCAACCACAAGCACCACATTTACACGTACATCAAGCAGCTCCCTCACCTCAAGCAGCATGACGTTCTCTTCCACATCATTCACCGAAACTTCGTCTTCTACATTTACGCGAACGTCAAGCAGCTCCTCCACCTCAAGGAGCATGACGTCCTCTTCCACATCATTCACTGAGACTTCTTCTTCCACACTTACACGGACGTCAACCACTTCAGGGAGCCCGACGTCATCGTCCAGCTCCTCACAGAGCACCTTCTCCACTTCACAAACCACGACATCCCTTTCTCCCCCTGCATCCGATGGCAACAGTAGTTTCGAGACAGGTGATGAAGCAACCACCACCGCCGAAGTCGCATCAGACGAACAACCGACAGACCTCTTGGACGAAGGCGACGGAGTGAATGAATGGATGGTCTTCTTGATCGTGATGGCTGTGCTGGTCATGCTCGGGTGTGGGGTGGTGCTGTTGTCATGCTGGATAGTGAAGCGCTGTGACAAGAAGGCGCAGCCGGAGCCGGAAACCACCTACTCGGTGTGACGTTATTTTGTCTTTCACAATCTTCGCACAAGAAGTTGAGTTCGCAGCCTTTAAGTCCTTCAGACGACGTCTCTTTGTCAAACAGACCAAGAGCCTTCCGGCACGGTCGTGTGCAACCGATACTGTGGTTCAGAGCAGGTCTTCTGTGGACATTCCATTTGATTTTGTGTGTTGTGAGCCGAACCGCAGTACTGATTTTGGACGAGCCACTTCGTAGCGCGAGTGTTGCTAGTCACCAGTCAGGTCGTGTGCACTGTTGGGCCTTTGCACCCGTCTCATTGAGACTTTGAGGTGTGCACAGGTCAATCGGAAGCCTTGACATGTCTTCCTTTTCAAAGTTTTCACGATGTGGGCACCCACTGGGCGATAGAGGTAGTATAGGTACACAGCTCCTGGTCATGAAGTAGCATCGGATGTCAGCTCATTTCAGTACCTTTTCTTCTGTGATTCTTTAGGGCACCCTCGCTAAGGCGAGATGTTGAAACCAATTCGGCCTGCAAGCTGCGCAGTCGGGATTAAGTTTTGTGCACATCATCGGCATGAATGCCGGTGTGCTCCCCTCCATGCTCTAATGATCTCTATTGTGCATGGCATTTGGCTCCATTGTCTTGGGTGGAGCTTTGTTCGCTTGACGCTCAAGGCGTTTGTGTGCTCGGGTGAAAAATGTCCCGCGCATTTTGTCTTCGTTTATGCCAGCCGAGCCAAGCCATTTATGCACTGCCCCCTGGTGCTCGGCTGTAGTCACTGTAGTCACTTTCAGGTGGACAACTGCAGCGCCACCTTGCAGCCGCTGCCCAGACACACAGCTGATCTGTCTTGAATGGCGTCCCTGAGAATGATCTTCTGCAGCGAGTGTAATTTTCGTTGCCAGCATACTTCAGCTGTCGACGGACCAGCACCTCGACTTCAGGTGACTGAGTCTCAAGTTCTTTGGAGTGTTGACATGCTCCGGCAATTTCGATGCTTCAGCTATGTCGACCGAACCCAAGTTCGTAGCATAATTCGACAACTGCCCGCTCCTTTCCTATACAGGTTTGTGGGCTCAGCCTGGTGTATGGCAGGTTTCATCAGGTGCTCTATGGACCAAAGTTTCTGCTGGTCGGATTCCGATTTCCTCGGTCGCCGCTTCCGGTTGCACTGTCAGTAGCCTCGCACGCCTTTGGATTGCTTTGAGCCTCGCATGCCCTCCCGGATGCAACAGCCTGTCAGACGTACTGTCGCTTTATATGCCCATGCAACCCGTGTAGCGAGGTGACAATCCGCGTAACGTGTTTGGCCGTGATTTCTGCTGTCTGTCGTCCTTCGTTCGATATCGTCGCCACCTAGCGACCAGCCCCATCTGCCTTCCATAAACATACAATCATACATGCCTCTTGCAGGGCTGCTTTGGCGGACTTCGTCTTTTCCATGTCTGTTTAGGCCTTTTTTGTGGTGGCGAGGGCGGCCTTAGCCACTGCTGCCTTGGACCCGACCTCGCTCGGAGGAGGACCCCTTGTCCGGTCCTATTGCAAAGGGCGCGAGCTTCCAGCAGTTCACAATGAGGCAACAATAGAGAGCGAAAGGGGCTGTTCCTCTAAGTGAAACTGTGCGGACTGCTCGGCGCCTTACTGGCAGCACCTGGTTCCCATGTTAGATGCCGTCAGCAGGTAATTATCTCGCAGCCTTCATCAATTCTGACAGAAGAGATGCTTCTACCCAAACTCGCGCGGTTCGAGCGAGCCTCTCGCGGCGGGAAACCCATAGGCTTTCTCCGCGTTGGAGCGACCAGGCCTCAAGCCCCGCGCGGTCACTTGTAGATACCCGCTTAAGGCGTTTTGGCTCAAGAAGCTTACCGAGACCCCTAATCACATGGGATGGCCAGGTCCTCAACTCTGTGGGTTCCATGTCGTTCTGCTGATTGGCTTGTGAGCAAGTCTTGGAATGGAGACTTAGACAATCGGCACATGCCCGTTTTTGAAGTCTGCTTCCGAGCCTCGCGTGCCAAGGAGTTTTCCGCCATGCTCGAACATGCATCTGGGCTGCAACTCGTTTGAGGGATCTTCCGGCCCTAGTCCGGGCTTGATTTTGTGCAGCATGGTGGCCCTTCTTTGTTCCTCCGCTGCGAAGCTTTCAAAAGGGCAAAGGCAGACGAACAGCTCCCGCCAGCTGCAACGGCAGCGATGACTCTAGCACGGGTGATCCAGCTAGTGGGCATCGTGATGGCAGGCATGGCATCTGCGACGGACTACCCTGCCACCTGGGCTCTTGCAGATCACGGCACGGTTCCAGCTGCTACCGTCTACGCCATCACCGATTCCTCCAATGATGCCCAGCTTCCCGGCACGATGAGTTCCGGCGATGTCAACGGTGATGGCAGCAACGACTTCGCCTACGAGTTTCCTGTCGGCACTTTCAACGTGCACTTCGGAGGCATTTCTGCAGACTTGGATCTCGACAGCAATTCTTACAGTGGCTCCAATGGCTTTAGCATCGTCACCGGTAACAGCGGCCATATTTGGGGCACCATTGCCGGCGACGTCAACCAGGATGGCTTCAACGACGTGTTGTTCTTCCACGAGGCAGGTCAGAGAGCAAGAGTAGCCGAGTCCCTGTTCAAACCAGACTCTTGTGCGTAAACTGCAGGCGTCCGCTTCCGTCAAAATCGTCTTCGGCAAGGCTAGTGGGTGGAGCGCTTCCTACACCGTTGCGAGCATGACGTGGGATGGCACGGACGGCCGTGAGTTGACCTACACAGGCGAAAGCAACTTTGCAGATAGTTCCTTCGGCGGTAGCACGCCGCAGATCCTCAGTGGATTCGACATCAACAACGACGGCATTGACGACATCGCCGTCGTTTCAAAGGGCAGCAGCAACAGTGGTCGAGTAAGCATTTTCTTCGGCAAAAGCACCTGGTCCGCATCGGTGGACGGCTCCACCGATTTTGATGGCACCAGTACCGGCTTCTCCTTCATGGATGCTGCAAATGCCAGGTTGGGACGCGGCCTGACTGTGGGAGATGTTAACGGAGATGGCATCGACGATGTCGTGGCCGCGAGCAGAAGCGATCAACCGTTCAGCGGGCTGGCTGCATCTACGTACTGTATGGAGGTGGTACGTATTCAGCTTCCATTGCCGACATTTATGCTCATGTCGATGGCACCACTGGCTTCCGGCTGTGTGGGGCAGCAACCAACACCTACATCGCGGACTACTACGTGACCTCGACAGACTTCAACGGCGACGGCATCTCCGACCTGCTGTTCGCAGGGCGAGGCAGCCAGCAGGGCTTGTACCTTCTCTTCGGCAAGGCATCCTTTGCCGCGAGTTTGACTCTGCCGTTCGCAAGCGGTGAGGGAGTCTCCTTCACGGGCTTTTCGGCCCAGCCGGCATTCCTGAAAATCGCCAACCTGGGCAAGTTCAACAACGACCAGTACGAGGATATGGCGTTTGGGGATGGCAGCAGCCTGTACGTCGTGTTCGGCAGTGCC